CCCTTACCATAATCGCGAGCTTCATCTTTCAAAATAAATGTAAAGACAGTAAATAATGTCATTAGTTTTACCATCATTTCGAGCCCGAAAAGGGAACAGAGTCGCGTGACAGACGACAATCAGCTTGTAACACTCCGAAGAGAAAGGAAAACTTGAAATCGTATCATATGACCCCTTTAAGAAAAATAATACATATTCTTGAACAACACACTCAAACCCTGTTTACTCGAAGAGGATTGGACCTTTAATAACAAGATAATAATAATAATATATTTTGTTTTATAAAAGCATTTAATGGACATTTGGGAGAGCTGTAGCTGTACCGTGATTGCTTTGAGTGGATGATATTCACTGAACTGCACTGCTAAAACCTCCAAACGACACATATGCAACTCACTCTCATATTTACGTGTCCGAGAGTGCCTGTACAGAACACAAACATAGATAAAGCTGTCATATGGACAATTATATTAATACATGAGATTGGAAATGCTAACAAATTCCAAAAATGATGACGTAATATATATATATATTTTTTTTCTGGACATGGCACCATGATAGCACCATCGTGTTGTTGGACATGACCAAAAGAATAGTATTATCATGATACAAATACCATACCACATTCGTTTAAGTAGCTAATCATGCAATATCATGGTGTCTATCAAAGTAACATAGCATTACAATTTAATACCATCACTTTACTGTCATAACAGTACACCTTCCTCTAGTCTACAGCAATGATAATCACTAGGACAGATTACAAAGTGCATGTTCATCATCAGTATTCCTCTATTCATCAAAAACGTCGCGTTAGAGTTTGATTATTGATAGCGTCATAAATGTCTTTAACATGTAAACATTTCTTACCACTGAACTGAAGCCATGTTCAATCAGTGTCATATGATCCCGAAGTGTTTGACATAAGAGTCGTAGTGTCATAATAAAAGTCACGAATATTTTATGTGCACATTTTTATCTGAAAGACATTTTTAGAATCAGCTTCACTGTGGTGTTGATTCAGCAATAATGTTGCTGAATCTATCGAACTAAAATGATTGCATTTTTATCAGTAACAATACAAATCAAGCACAAAAACAAGATAATAAAACAAACAAAAAACATAAAAAAATATGAGGTAGGTTCACTGTTACCGTCATCAGCCGTGTGTTTGTGGCTTTTATTAAAATTTAAATGTTAATCCAGCATATTGGATGTCTCGAACAAAATGACGGTTTGGTTCCACTTTATTTCAATGTGTCCTTGTTACAGGGTGATTACACTAAATGAGTAATGAGAATACAGGGTTAAGGGTTATAAGGTTAGGGTTAGTTGTTTGCTTTACTGTTATTATATATAACGTGTAACAAGGACACTCCAAAACAAAGTGTCACCATAGTTGGATGCAAACAGAACAACATCGCCTTGCTGTCTGGGATCATCTTTGATTTGAAGAAAAGAGATGTTCAAAGATGTGTCGGTGAATGTTCCAGTTTCAACCTATTGTCAGCATTTGCAATGCAGTAGTGAACATTCTAGTGTGAACTTGAGAAGAAAATAGTATCTAGAACATCTGTGATGCCAAAGGTGATATAAAGATTTTTAACTTTGCTAAACTAAAGACTATTGTCTATTGACTGTTGTTAATTTAATTTTGTTTCTATGCAGTAAATACATAAACACAGGAGACTGTTTATTAAGACATAAAAAAACAGGTACCATTCTATGAACAATGAAGTAAAAACAAAAAGGGGAAAAATACAACCTATCCTTGTTGAAAAAAACAGCATATGCTGGTTAGGTATGTTTTGACGCTGGGATGCTGGTTTAAACTGGTCCTTTGCTGGTTTATGCAAAGGACCAGCATAAACCAGCAAAAGGACCAGCATAAACCAGCAAAGGACCAGTTTAAACCAGCAAAGGACCAGCATAAACCAGCAAAGGACCAGCTTAAACCAGCATCCCAGCGTCAAAACATACCTAACCAGCATATGCTGGTTTTTTTCAACAGGGATGGTTGACTTGTAGCAACGACGAACATGGTTTCTGACAACTACAATGTGTTTTGTGAAAGCAAATGTGCTAATTAAGAAATATTCTCGGGTCTCAGTAGATGACAGTGCCTTGCCATTCTATTCTTACCTTTCTATTGATCAGAACCACATCTTTTTGTCCCTGGCCATTACGTCCATACAAAGCAATCTGGTAGAAATCTGTAGTGCAGTAGCTGTTCTGTCATCTGTGTTACATATTAGCATGAACCTTAAGCTCCAACTTTCAGAACCTCACGTTTCTTCCTCAGTACAAAAAACACAGCATTTATTGAGACAAAGCTGCAAAAACGGCTTTTTTTTTTTTTTTTTTACTTTTGCAAATGTGTGATGTCAGGCAGATGAATACGCCTATTGGTTTAACAGAACTTTGGTCCATCCAGTCGTGTTCAGTATAATGATAAAGTAAGATACAACTCCAATTTCAGAGAAGTTGGGACATTTTGTAAAATGCAATAAAATCAAGAATCTGTGATTTGTTCGTTCTCTTTAACTTTTATTTAATTGACAAAAGTACAAAGAAAAGATTTCCAAAGTTTTCACTGACCAATGTAAATGTATTTTGTAAATATGAACAAATTTTGATTTTGATGGCTGCAACGCACTCCAAAAAAGTTGGGAAAGAGGCATGTTTAACACTGTGTCACATCAACCTTCCTTTTAATTACGATGATTCATTGTTTGGGAATTGAGGATACTAATTGTTATTATTAAAAGTTTTGCAAGCAAATTTTTTGTCCAGTCTCGCTTGATACAAGACTTCAGAAGCTCAGCCGTCTGTGATTGTCGTTGTCTGATTCTCCTTTTCATGACTGTTGGGGACTTATCTGGACTGCAGGTAGGCCAGTCTAACACATTCACTCTATCTCTACGAAACCACGCTGTTGTAGCACGTGCAGAATGAGATCTGGCATTGTCTTGATCTAATAACCATGGACTTCCCATGAAAGACATCATCTTGATGGCAGTATATTTCTCTGTACAATCCCAGTTAATGCCTCCATGTCAATGGTACCTTCGCACATATTCCAGTCACCCATGCTGTTTGCTCTGCTGCACCCCCATACCATGACAGATGTTTGCTTTTGCTTCTGTCGCTAATGAAAGTCTGGATGGTCCCTTTGGTCTTTGGAACTGAGAACTCGAAATACATTTTTCCCGGAAACAAGTTGAAATGTGGACTCATCTGAGTACAACACACATTTTCACTGTCTTTTTGACTATCTGAGATGAGCTCTAGGCCCAGAGAACCCAGCAGCATCACTGCATAGAATTGATGTATAGCTTTCTCCTAGAGTAACAGATATTCAAGTTGCATTTCTTGATGCAGCATCAGACTGTGGTAAATGACAGTGGTTTTCTGAAGTACTCCTGAGCCCATGTGGCTATATTTAACAATGCGGCATGAGGGTTTCTTATGCAATGCCATCTGAGGGCTCAAAGGTCAAGCACATTCAACTGAGGTTTACTGCCTTGCCCTACATGTACTGTGATTTCTCTGGATTCCCTGAATCTTTTCACAATAGTATGTATGGTACTTGGTGAAAGACCTGCTACTGACTGGCAACTGGAAGTGGATCTTGATAAACGGCTGAAGATCCCAACCAGAATAACATCTACACAGCTTCGTCCAGACATGATCATTGTTTCAGATTCCACCAAGCAATTGATCTTGCTGGAGCTTACTGTGCCTTGGGAAGAGGCCAATGCGAGGATGCGTGCTAAATACTAGGAGCTAGTGGAAGAGTGCAGGAGGCAGGGACGGCAAACTCGTTGTGAGCCTTTGGAGGTGGGCTGCAGGGGTTTTGCAGGGCGATCACTCTGCAAAGCATTCACGCTTCTAGGTATCATCAGGGAGGCGAAAAGAAAGGCGATCAGATCCGCAACTGAAGCTGCAGAGAAAGCCACCAGGTGGCTTTGGATTAAGAGGGCAGAACCGTGGGCAATCGCTGCTGGGACACAGATCACTGGGTCGCTGGGGCGAGGGTGTCTTGATGTTGAAAGACCCGAAACACCTAATGACCCCCAGGATACATCACTGATGGTGTGTCCCAGCGCATCTGCATGATGTGTCTTTCACCTGGTAGTTGGTGAAAGACCTGAATTCTTAGCAATTTTGCATTACAAAATGTGATTTTTGATTTGTTTGACACTTCTCTGGTGAAATTTGGCACAAAGTGATGAGCCATGATCCAGCTTTGCTTGCAAAGACTGAGATGCTCCTTTTATAACCAAACGTGATATCTTGACCTATTACCAATTCACCTGCTTACTGTTCAAAACAGTTTAACATGGATATTCTATAACCTTTTGACTTTTATTTTGCCTCTGTCCCAACTTTTTGGGAATGTGCTGCAGCCGTCAAAACCAAAATTTGTTCATATTTACAGAATACATTTACGTTGGTCAGTGAAAACTTTGGAAATCTTTTTTCTGTACTTTTGTCAATTAAATAAAAGTTAAAGAGAATGAACTAATCACAGATTCTTGATTTTAATGCATTTTACAAAACGTCCCAACTTCTCTGGAATTGGGGTTGTAGATATATCAAAAATAGTTAAGTAATACTACTTTTTGTCCAATCAAATGCTCTCTAGACTGAAGGACCCAATATACTAAATAAATCAAAGAACAAAAAGGTGTGATATAATTTTTAACAAAATCTGAGCTTTGTATCAGTAGTTCAAACCAATTTGTCAGCACAGACTTCTCAAAAAAACGTTGTGCGGCTGTTAAACAGCTTTTTCGATACTTTATTTCCCAAATATTAAGCAAAACACAATGTATTAAAATATGATACGAACCTTTGAGGTATTTGCTAGTAGCTTAAAAGACACAAAGAGCAAGAACACATCACACAAATGGTGTTTGTTGCAACCATTTTTATATCTTCTGTGCACAATTTTGTGAGTGGAAATTAATAGTCTTTTCAATGTTTTTTTCTCAATGAAAAACATCATCATCAGTCTGAAATAAAACAATTCACTCTTTGCCCTTTCACAGGCATAAAGAGAAAAAGTAAGGAAATACATTTGCATCTTTACATCAAGTCCACATTGCATTCTGATCTCAATCACAGTCATTCCACATTTTCTCTCTATATATTTATATATATTTTTAGTTTGTAGGAAATCAGTCTCTGGTCATTTGAAACAGAAGTCCAGACCATAAGAATCGAAACAGAAGAAAAGTCCTTAATTCCTTCTATACATTTGTCCATTCATTTTTGCGCATTTTGTCTTCATCCTCCAGCAGTTTTCCTCCCTTCATCCAAAGGGACTCAGCAACGAAGTGGCGAAATTGAGGAGGAATACAATCACAGTCTGATCTGAGGAAAGAAAACAACAAAATTCCGGCGACACACCTTTTATCCCCCCTTTAGTCTCTGAGGAACACGGGCAGAGGAGCGACAATATGAGCGCATGCTTTTGAACATGTCTGCTGTCGTGTCGGGGAGGGCACACAGTAGTCAGTAAGTGGCTAATGATGGCGGCAATGATGCCTGTCATGGTGACTGTGTGGGTGGGCTGCTCTGGGCGGAGCTTGGAGAAAGGGAGGGGCTACAACTGCCTGGAGGAGCGCCGGAGGCCCGTGAACTGATCCCGCCTGAGGAACTCTCCAAACCCTCAGAGTTCTCCAACATCTCCTGGATGAGAGGAGGCATGGAGCCGGGAATCTCCATCTTCAAGGTGATCACACGCTCTGCCCCTGTGAGAGATGGAAAATTCATTTTGTTTTCATTTTAATTTCATGTAGCTGCGCATGAAATTTTCTTGCAGAAAATGGACAAGTAAGGATTAGAACTCATCCAGGAATGATTCATGTGAATGAATGGGACTCACCCTTGGCACTGATGCTCCTCAGGTCGGTAATCTTCATCAGCATCTTAGGGAACATGTGAGGCTTGTGTGGCCTCCTGTTCCTCACGTAGATCTTCAGTGCTTCCAGCAGCGGTTCCTGCAGTATGTCCACCTTATCGGCCTCCTCCAGATCCTGCCGATCTGCACAAACCAGCAAACACTTCAAATTCAGCTCACAAAGTTCATAGGTTGAAAGCTTATAATCACACATTCAGATTGAGCAAAATCATGGAGATGGATGCCTTTAGAGGTGAATCTTAAGAAACCTGTCAAGAACTTCATTCATGTCTTTCACCCCAAAATAAAAACAAAACTTGCTTAATTAGAGTAGATTTTTTTTGTATTGTTACATTATATGTTCTGCCAGAATTCTTGTTACCGTTAATGATTTTTTTTTAAATCTATTTATTTTGTATTTATTTTACAGTCTTTAATTATGATTTTTGTAGAAATATATTTTTATTTGAATTATTTTTAAATATCATAAAAATATACATTAGATAACCCTTTTATATTATTATATCATTTAGATTGCACAATAAATACTAAAGGGATTTTATAAATATTTTATTGTCTTTAATTATGAAGGTTTTACAAGACAAAAACATTTGTTTCTTTAAAAATAATTTTAATAATTTTACATTAAATATTTGTACTTTTTAGCTTTGTGGTGAAATACGACCTGGCCATGTTTTCATGAGATCATAAACTATATATATTCACTATATGTTACATGAGCAGATGCAATACCACCCCCAAACAATGCATGGCACTAGAGGTCCATGTATCAAAAAACATGGAAAGGTCATGTGACACTAAAGACTAATGGCTAAAGACTGATGGCTGCTGAAAATTCAGCTTTGCCGTCACAGGAATAAATAGCATTTAGAAATATATTTAAATAGAAAACAGTTCTTTTAAATTATTATAATATTTCACAATGTTATGGTTTTTACATTGTTTCATCAAATAAACACAGCCTTGGTAATTATGAGACTTCTCTTACATTAAAACAGTCTTAATTATTTCAATCTTATATATGTTTCTCCAGCATATAACACTGTGCACAGTATGTGACCTTTATGTATGCAAGGCACCCCAAAAAGACCTACTGCATTTACCTACTACATAAGGTCTATTGTCTAAAAGCACTATCTAATACTGTCAAGTCTTTTAAAAGCACAATTATACGTAAACATAACAGCATCTTTAATAAGCAGCTCATAGGTCATAATACACAGCGTGTGTGTGTACTGTACCTCCACAGAGCAAGCAAATGGCACTGAGCAGTCCCGTCTCTGCGTCATCCATCTCTAGCGGTAGTAGCTGATTGGCGAAGGCGAACACCAGATCTGTTAACGGACCGAAGCCGGCATTGTGCATCTGTGTGCGGTTCAGCGTTAACCCATCAGAGAACGTCATGGTGTCTTGCTCAGGTGTGTAACGGGTACAGATCCTCAGAATCTAAAAACAAAAACAGAGAGGAGATGTGTTGATCTTAACTCTGCATATATTGAACACAAAACAAGAATGTAACCAAAAACTTGATGGTCCGCATTGACTTCCATAGTATTTCTTTTCTTTCATACTATGGAAGTCAATAGGGACAAGAAAATGTTTGTTAAAGGGGTCATATGATGCGATTTCAATTTTTCCTTTCTCTTTGGAGTGTTACAAGCTCTTGGTGCATAAAGAAGATCTGTAAAGTTGCAAAGACTAAAGTCTCAAATCCAAAGAGATATTCTTTATAAAAGTTAAGAGTCAGCCACGCCTACCTAAAACGGCTCGTTCTAACACGCCCCCGCATACCTACA